CACACACACACACACACACACCGAAAATAGGCATCGCGCACAGTGCGCACCTTGCACGGGTAGCGCGTCCCCATGCGCTGCGCGCATGGCGCACCTCGTGCGCGTGCGCGCGCACATGCGCGCGCGGTGTCACCGCGCGCATTCCGCATCGCGCACCGCACTAATGCGCCGCAAGTATGGTTTAGAACTGTGTTTAGCTGGGGTATCTTCGGGGCAACAGCTCCTCTTTTACTATGCCTCACACGTACCAGGCTGCCCACGATGATGGTGGTTGAGCGGCAGCTGCCCACATCCCCGTGTGCCTTAATGACATACTTGCACGTTATAACAGGAGGCAGAGTAAAAGGGAAGGTATGCTCCTGTGAATTTCTTTTCAGATCTTCATACTACTCTTCGTTTCACTTCAGATCTTCAGCTTATACTTAGTCTTTGTGTCTGTCCTTCATCTTCATACTTCCATTCATTTCACTTCCGATCTTCATATCGTCTGTTCTCTCAACGATGCTCATTCGTATGTATTTGCTAGTAGCACAAAGGGGAGGGTGGAGCGGAGGGTGGAGGGGAGGTGGAGGGAAAGGGATAGAAGGCGGAGTTCTACTAGGAGTGTGGGGTAGGGGGAGGTGGAGGGTAAAGGTCAGGAAAGAAACATGTGAAGCGCAGGATAGAGTATGACATGCAAGGGCAGGGGAGAGGTCTACGACGAACTTCGCAGAATTCTAAACACTCACCGCTAGAACAGACGACTCTAGAATGTGTGTGTGTGTGCGTGTGTTTGTGTTCAAGATCAGTTGGATAACACAGTTGCAGCAGCGTGCGTCTGTTGTTTTTTGTTTTTGTTTTTTTTTGTTTTTTTTTTTGTTGTTGTTTTTGTTTTTGTTTTGTTTTTGTTTTTTTTTGTTTTTGTTTTTTTTTGTTTTTGTTTTTGTTTGTTTTTTCTTTTGTTTTAATCCGGATATCTGGACGTGTTCATCCATAACCGGACAGTCCGGGTCAGTACGTTCGGATCGGTGTCCGGATTACCGGACATCTGGATTAATCCAGAAACAGGTCCGGGCCCGATGTCCGGTGTCTGGATGTCCAGGTCCGGGGCAACCATGGTGGAAACCGTGGAACTGGATTTCAAAAGCTCCTTGAGGACCATGTGGTCATCCAAAACTACCATTAAAAATGAGCAAAAAAAAAAAAAAAAAAAAAAAA